TTCGAGACAGGGTTTCTCTGTATAGCCCTGGCTGTCCTGGAACTCACTCTGTAGACCAGGATAGCCTCGAACTCAGAAATCCGCCTGCCTCTGCCTTCCAAGTGCTGGGATTAAAGGCGTGCGCCACCACCACCCGGCCACCCCAATGTTTCTTGTTGGCACCTTGAATATGATTCAAGTGGTTCATGGTCGTTTATGAGCATTTAGACAGACCCAAGCCTAGTGACGCTCCTGACCACATTTGGAAACAGGAGCACTGAGGTTCTTGGTCTTAGGGAGATGAGGGCACGTGGGGTTTTGTTTGGCCGGGTGAGCAGCCTTAGCCGTTGTTGAGCATTGTTGTTTGGGGCTTTTTCATCCAATGGTACATCTTCAAGATCACGGCTAAGATTTCTGCTGAGGAGTCAAGGACCCTTCCTATAGACGTTTAAGTTTGGTGCTAGTCTTAGGAACTCTGGGAGGAGAAGTAGCTCCTAAGGAGCTGTTTTCCACCTGGGGTCTTGGGATCCAGATTGGTGCATCACAGGAGGGCCTTTGTAAGGCAGTCTAGGAATCGTGATGGGTTTTCATATTTATCTTGGATGACCTTTTGAATTTTTTCATAATTTACAGTCTTAAGGACAACTTTGTGGAGACTAGCCACGAGACAAGTTATAAATTGATTCCTAGCTAGGATGCCCCCTGAGGTATTGTGATCCCATTCAGCATCCTGGACTGGGACTGCCTAGCTCTGACTGGGTGGGCAACCTGTTGCTGAGAAGAGAGAAAGAGAAACCAGAGAGGCTGAAGAGGAAGGGAAGGTACCCTAGGTATAATTTGTTAGTGTGATTGAAAATAGTAGAATTATCTGGTTTGGCTCTCATAGCTGGGAGTGGTTTTTCCTTGGTTGGTTTATGCCATGTGTGGCTACTTCTTTTCCCAGAGTTCCCCTTAATACTACGACCAAACTTAACTGTCTATAGGAAGGGTCCTTGACTCCTCAAGCAAAAATCTTAGTCATAGTCTTGAATATGTACCATTAGAGAGATGAAAAAGCCCCAAAACAATAATGCCCAATCAAGATGGGAGTGAGATTGCAAAAGTCCATCCTTTCAAACCCTAGCAAGATTGCTGTCAGCTATGTGGCGGCTTCCATCCTAATTTGGGAGGTTGGGGTGGGGGAAGAGACAGTGTCTAAGATGACAGGCCTCATGTCTCCTTGATTACCTATCTGTAGATTTTTAACTATCTACCCTGGTGTCACAAATTTTAAGTTAACCCCTTTGTTAGAGATTTATGTTACTCACATACCTTAGCAAGTTTTGAGGATTAAACCCAAGCCTGAAGAGGAGAGATGAGCAGCAATAGTCCCTATTGTGAATTGTCTGTCCCTTTGCTTTTCTTTCCTTTCTCTGTCACATAGTTAGGTGGCTTGCCTAATATGGGACAGAGATATTGGAGGAAACAAACAGCCATACTTGGGTCTAAAGGAGAAAGAGCTATACCCAACACCAGAGCCAGATTTTAATTGAAGTGGGACAGCATGAAACAGTCCAGTGCTGCTCATATCTAAAAGGCCCCTGAAATCCTGTAAACCTGAATCCAGTAAGATAAGAAGACAGAAGACTCGGAGATAGAAAGGTTTCAATGTCTGACTCTAGACAGAGAACACTCCAGGAGGGAGCTGAGAGACTGACCAACCAGCAAGGAGTGTGTGCTGGCTGCGTGCATGCTACAGCTGGCTTACTCCTTGCTTCCTCCCCCTCAGACTTAGGGAAGCATTTACAACAACCAGAAGGGAAAACTTACCTAATTGTCATTGGTGGATGCTGTGTTGAGTGATCTGTGGGTCAGAAGGTGAGATTAGTGCAGGTCAGCTGGAGATAAGGGACAGGTTCTGATTTAGCTAAGACCCCAGGAGTAGGGGGAGCACAGGCACTAGGAGAGCCTATGGGAGTAAGAATATCTGCGTGGATGAAAGGGTATCCTGAGACTCCAAAGCCCAGGAACCATACAGCTCTGGGAGGAAGGTATCGCAGTGGAAGGAAGGCATCCTGAGATTCCAGGAACCACACAGCTCTGGGAAGAAGGTATCGCAGTGGAAGGAAGGCATCCTGAGATTCCAGGAACCACACAGCTCTGGGAAGAAGGTATCGCAGTGGAAGGAAGGCATCCTGAGATTCCAGAAACCACACAGCTCTGGGAAGAAGGTATCGCAGTGGAAGGAAGGCATCCTGAGATTCCAGGAACCACACAGCTCTGAGGTGGGACAGTGTCCCAGTTGAAGGGCATCCTGCAACACGGGAACTCTGGAACCTCATAGCTCTGAGAGGAAGCCTCTTTAGTAGAGGCATTGCAGCTCCCAGGGGAGGATATCCCCAGCTGAGCTCAGGAGCTCAGGAGCCTCAGCCCCACTCCTCCTTCTTGTTCTTTCTCTTCTCTTCATTGCTTCTTTTCTTCTTAGCTTCTTCTGATGAGAGAGTCACACCAAGCAGGAAATCTCATGAAAGAGATTTATTGAAGGGTCTGGGATATAGAGGGACAAATCCAGGGATGGCTGCCCTCTGCTCCCAGGAGTGGGCAACAGGGAATTGGACAAAGAGGCCGTGCTGATATAGGATATCTGAGGGGCGGAGCTTCTCAGAGCAGAGATATCTAGAGTGAGATTTCAAGTGGGATTTCAAGTCCTGAGCTTGAGGGAGCTCAGGGGTTGGTGGGTTTTCTGCTCAGGGATTGGTGGCGTTTGTTCACCCTCTTTTCCCTGCAGCTGACCCATGGGTTGGTGTAGCTTTTGCTGAGGCACATCTCTCTAAGGCTGTTGGGGGGAGGTAGGGAGGCTGAAGAGGAGGTGTTGCCACTGTGGACAGCTCCTGTGGGACATCTCCTGCAGTGGTGTATCAGGAAAGCTGTAGGCTGAGGCAGGAAAGAGGGTGTCACCAACATGGACAGCTCCTGAGTGGCAGCTCTCCCTGAGGCAGGAAAGGCAGGGCACCATCATGGACAGCTTCTAGACTCCTGTGAAGGCTGCAGGCTGAGGAGATGGGGTGCCACCATTTTGACAGGAACTGCTATCTTGGACAGCTCCTGTGGGGGCAGGAAGAGGGGAGTCCTGCTGCTGCTTTGAGGGCTTTCGTGAGCTAGTGGCTTTTGTAGTGCACTGCTCACTGCTCAGGGACTACAATAATTTTTGAAGATAAGTAGCTACAAATAAAAAATGAGATGATCAGAGTGGTCTGTCATACAATAGTAGTGATATGTTGGAGAGGAATGTCTCTCTTTTCTCAGAATAGGTCACTTGTTCACCCTGAATTTTCAAAATGTTTGGGAAGTGTCTTAGGTCTATAACTGTAACCAGCCTGGCAGGAACAAATATTCTTTTTTTTTTTTTTTTTTTTACTTATTTATTTATTATATGTAAGTACACTGTAGCTGTCTTCAGACACCCCACAAGAGGGCATCAGATATCATTGCAGATGGTTGTGAGCCACCATGTGGTTGCTGGGATTTGAACTCATGACCTCTGGAAGAGCAGTCAGTGCTCTTAACCACTGAGCCATCTCACCAGCCCCAGGAACAAATATTCTAAGGAGACACTTGTGTCTCTTAATCTGACTATCAGATTATTGAAACAACCCCCTCCCCCAAATAGAACTACCCTTCCAGAAATCTCATGTTGGAGAAGGAAAAGCTGTCCAAACTGAGGATTTATAACACAATAAAGGGAACTCTAAACTATGCTCTCTAGTCAATACAGGTACCATGGCTGTGGCAAATACTCAGTAGCAGATGTAGCAGGAACCTCGCCTCAAACTTCGCACATGCTGGCGGCTTGTCAGACCACCTCGCTGGAGACAGCATCACACATTAATGGGTCGGTGGTGGGAAGAACACACCTTGACCAGGACTTGCCTTGTGTCCATACCCCAGGCCTCCTATTTAAATTTTAATCTCATTTCAGGTTGCTAAAGGGGGACTAGAGTGGATTGCTGGCTTCTTAGGGTACAGGCTGTGCCTCCAAGTTGAGTAGCAAAACCAAAACCCCCAAGCCCAGGTCCTCCTAGGTCTGGCAACATTTTTGTAAACTTCTACCAAACTGTCTCTATTCCGGCCACCAACTTCCTCTTTCCAAAAGATTATTAAATATTTGTTCCTTATTGTATATATCATACCATGTTTTGTGATTTTCCCCCAACCCTGGTGTTTCAAGATTTTTGTATTGTTAAACAACTGTGTTTATACACTTAAACTATTAACAGCAGGTAAAGACACTATAGTAAGAACAAAGGAGAAAGGCAACCATGTGTTTCTTTCAACGAGTTACTATGACCAACTTGCTACATTTATGTTCTGTTTCTGTAACAGCAGCTATGTGCCTGTCAAACCCTCCATTCCTAAACTCCATGCTTCTGAATTATAAAAACCCTAATCTTCCCCATGTCCAAATGCTGAACCCTTGAACCCTACCTTTGGGGAGAGGCAGCCCGTGGACATGAATTTTTAAAAGCTTGCTTTAATTAATCTGGCCCCGATGATCTGGGTTGGTGGTCTTCTCCAATTTGTGGAAATAACAGAGGCATACACTTTTAATCCCATGGGAATTCAGAGGCAGGTGGACCTCCGTGAGTTTGAAGCCAGCCTAGCCTACATAGTAAGTTCCAGAGCAGGAGAACAGAGAGACCCTATTTCAGGAGGGGGAAAAAAAAGTCATGATAGTATTTTTATTTACAAATATATATTAAATGATATAATCTTAAGAAGGTTCAACTTAAATGTGAGGTTGGAGCTGGTTTTCCCACAGGAAGTCCTGCCTTAAAATACAGTCAAGAACTTGTCGATCTTTTAAAATTCACCAATGATTGGTGACATCTAGGGTCTAAGAAGGTGAGACGGAAGCCCTGTCTCTGAGAACCTGGTGACAACGAATGTCCAATCAGACACACAGACAGAGAGTAGGGGCGGGCCTTCAGTCTTGCGTAGTCCGCGTCTCTGAATACCCCCTGCGCCACTGTCCCACCTGTTCTCTATCTTGGGTCCTGTCCAGTGTTCCGCCCGGAAGTCCGGAGAGGTTCTGCCTGTTCCCGCGTGTCACATTTCCCCATTGAGAAACACAGTGAGGGATCTGGATGTCCCGGAATCCTGAAATGGTGAGTCTGTGGCAGGTCCAGAAGCCCGAGCCCTTTGTCCCCCGGCTGCGGGGTGGGGGCTGGGTGGGCTCTGGGCGCCCTGTCTTGTCCCTGGTCCCTGCAGGGACCCGAGCCCTGCTGCAGCGCTTTTTGCAGCTCTGGCCCGGAGCGTATGTCATGCTGAGCGAGAAAGAAAACGGTAACCCCGTGCCTGGACCCAGTCGATCGGCTCTCCGTTCTCTGCCCCTTGGCCCCACAAGTCTGTCCCCTATGGTTACTGCCGTCCAATCCCTGAGACGCCATATCTGGGGTTTGGGATGTTAATCTGGTGCCTAGACTATCCTGTCGCTGGGACCTCAGGCTCTATTCCGTTTCCCAGGATCCTGGAAATCCAGGATCCAGATCCTGTGGCATGAACTCTGTACCTACCCCTAAGAAGCGCTTCCATGTTCTGTGTTGCGTTGTAATTGAACTGTGTCACTGTGAACATGGATGTGAAGCCTTTTACTTTTTTTGGCAGCTGGATCTTTGTGTAGCCCTGGCTAGCCTAGTACTCATTATATAGACTGTGCTAGCCTCAAACTCATAGAAATCTCCCTGCTCTGCCACCCCAGGGCTGGGATTGAAGGCTTGCTGTTTTGCTTTCGTTGAGACAGGTTCTTATGTATACAGCCTCTGTATCTGAGGATGACCTTGGTCCTCTAATCTTCATCCTTGAGGCCATTTTCTGACATTTAGATTTCTGTTTCCTTAGATACATCCCAGCAGTAGTGATTGCTGGGTCCTTTGGTGGTTCTATGTTTAAGGCTTTAAAGACTATAATGTAAATTTATAAAATGTTTGCACTAACTTTCATATTAAGAACAGAGTACAAGGTTTCCTCTTTGTTTTTTTTTTTAAAGATTTATTTATTTTAATTATGAATATACTGTAGCTGTCTTCAGACACACCAGAAGAGGGCATACAATCTCATTACTGATGTTTGTGAGCCACCATGTGGTTGCTGGGATTTTAACTCAGGACCTCTGGAAAAGCAGTCAGTGCTCTTAACCCCTCAGCCATCTGTCCAGCCCAAGGTTTCCTCTTTGTAATTTGTCAATCTTTTTACTATTTTTATAGTTTCGTTTAGCATTTAGGAGTCCTGCTATCCAATGCATTCAATATCGGGTGCGAGTCTGTTAGAATTCAAGCTGTCAATGGCCACTGGAAGACAGCACCCAAGTGTTGTCTGTGAATAGTCAGAGTTCTGGTTTTCCACCTTTCCTACATCCTGGGTGAAGATTTTAGGTCACGGAAGTGGTTGCATGCTGTCTTCTTCTCTTGAGATCTGGGCTTTTCCGTATTCAATAAACACATTTAAAACTGAAGTCATTGGTGCCTGGGCCAACTCCTTCCAGGAAGTAGAAGATACCAGTGGACCTGGAGATTTTAATTGGGGAAGCCAGGATATAGCTATCCGTGTTGAAATTCTTTGGAAAACTCTGGCCATGTTTTCTGACTTTATCTTTACACCAACAGATCTTAGTGCTGAGTTTTCTTTCTCCCATGAGACAAATCAAATGTCACATGCTATGGAACCTTGGTATAACACAGAATAGAATGAACCCCACTTTCTGTTCCAAAAGCTGAATGCTTGGGTTAAAGAGAAACATGTCATTCCAGGAGCTGGTGTCATTTGAGGATGTAGCCGTGAACTTCACCTGGGAGGAGTGGCAGGACCTGAATGCTGCCCAGAGGACTCTGTACAGGGACGTGATGCTGGAGACCTATAGCAGCCTGGTGTTCCTGGGTGAGTCTGACTCCCGGAACTCTCGGTAGCGGTTACTTGCTTTTTTAGTTGGTAAGGGGGGATCATAGAGAACTTAAATACTAATCCTGTCTTATACATTTTAGTAGACACATTGTAATAGCATACGTGATTTTGAGAAACAGTGTGGTTTTGCGGTGTATTTATATCGTTTATAATGATCGGATGAAGTTAAGAAATAAGTTTGTCAGCTCAGGCATTATTTCTTCCTAATGTGAACACTTAAAAATCCTCTGATAATATTTTTGAAGGATTTAATGGCTTTCAATCATATATGTATTGCTGTTCTGTAGAACGTAAGTTACCCATTACGTCCATGTGTTTAACCACTCCTTGTTTCCCTGTCCCATCTCCTACACGTGCTTTCCAGACTCCAGAGTAAACGTGGTTCTCATCTCTGCTTCTTTGCTGTCGTCTTTACCTTGGAGCTTGGATAACATACAGGCCTGTGTGTGCACACACATTTCACTGATGTCTTTGACTATTCTGGGAAGATAAAGAATAAACATCCCGCTACAAATGTGGAGGCCCTTCCTACTGTTCAGTGGCCTTTTGTGTTATGGAAATGAATGTCTTGTTAAATGAGTGGTTTAACAATATTAGCCGGGCGGTGGTGGCGCACGCCTTTGATCTCAGCACTTGGGAGGAAGAGGCAGGCGGATTTCTGAGTTCAAGAGTTCGAGGCTAGCCTGATCTACAGAGTGAGTTCCAGGACAGCCAGGGCTACACAGAGAAACCCTGTCTCGAAGAACTAAAAAAAAAGAAGAAAGAAACACTATTATTCTGTGAGTTGATTTCTTCTATTAATTGCTTGCTTTTCTGCTTTTTCTTCCCTTTTTTTTTGTGACAGGGTTTCTCTGTGTAGTCCTGGCTGTCCTGGAACTCACTCTGTAGACCAGGCTGGCCTCGAACTCAGAAATCCACCTGCCTCTGCCTCCCAAGTGCTGGGATTAAAGGCATGCACCACCACCGCCCGACAATTGCTTGCTTTTCTGGATGCGTGATTTTGAGATCAATGTCTTCCCACGTGCCCTGTTTCTCATATGTATTAATGAAAATACTGTCTACATCATTGCCTCAAAATGTTGTGTGTATATTCTAGGAGCTTCATGGTTTTCAAGTCTCATATGTAACTTTTTAGTTGACTTCTTGTATGATGGCAATGAGGCATCCATTACCTACCTTGCCTTACCTTGTGGGTGTCCCTGTTTCTTATCATGGCTTACGTATGAGAAGTTCCTTCCAACTATGGGTTCATGAGACTTGTTGAAAATCAGGTGGTGTGTGACTAGCGGTCCACAGTGCTGACAAAACACTGGAGACAAATATTTTAAAATGAGTAAAGAGCTGCTTTTGTTTGTGTGTGTGTGTGTGTGTGTGTGTGTGTGTGTGTGTGTTAAGCTAATTTGTTCTAGAGTAACAGAGACATCTTTATTTAAAAATGTGTACTACCTACTTAATGTTTTCCACCAGTGAGGGGAATCAAGATCTTCCCAGACTGGGCTCTTTCCCTCAGGTATTGTTCCTGTGGGACATTAGCATAGTCACTGCTGTCTTCTTGGCTGTCAGCTTGGCCTTTCCCTTCTTTGGCAGCCCTGAGAGCATGCTATCACTGAGCTTCCCTAACTTCCAGTTTCTGATTCCTCTTGGCCATGATATCAGTAAGAGACCCGCCAGTGCCACACACTGGGGTTTGACTGCTCTGCTCGGTGGACCCTTTGAACTTCTTCCAACTGCCCCTTTTTTGTGTGTGTGCTGTTTGTCTGAGGAGAACAGTCTTATTTATCTGCCCAGGATTTCTCTGAGAGGAACTTGGTTGGCTTTGATAGATAGCAAGCCCGATTGTGTTCCATCTGTTTATATGTCCCTCTTTATACCGAGACCTTGCACTTTTGGTTCCTATCTCTGTAGAAAGCTTTGAAGGCTGGTCTTTCGAGGACTTCAAGTGTGTTGTGATAAGGTCGTTGGCACAATTGTAGTCTTTCATGCTTACGTGTGCTGCTGAGACACTGAAATATTCTTTTGAACATCCTTTTCTGTGCTCTCAAGATGATGATTTTATTGAATCTGTAACTTTAAGTGCTGTGGTCTTTGGACAGTATTAATTCTTCTGATCACAAACAAACTTAGAATGCAATGTCTTTGGGATTCCCCCCACCCCCTTGATTTTGTGAGACGAGATTTCACTGTATCCCGAGATGGCCTTACATTTATGTAGCCCAAGCTGGCCTCAACATCACAGCATTTCTCTTATCTTACTGTTCTGGATCCTAGGTTACTCCCATTGTTTCTAAGGATTGTGTCATCTTCGGTTTATTTTTGTAATGCAGTGTACAGTGTTTTACTTCTTGGTTACTGAATTTTTAAAATAGGCCGGGGTTGTAGTGGTAAGTAACTTTCTACTATGTCTACAATCCTATATTTGCTACCTAGAATGGCAAAAGATAAATACAAATAAACAACCACTATTTTATATTTTAAAGGAAGGCCACGCAGCCTGTGCACATGCAGTTATCCTCTGGTCCTTGGCCTTGGTACACGGGCAAACATGTGCTTGCATGTCCACAAACAGGGAGCTTACAGTGGTCCAGGCGTTCCTGGAAACTTTGACATTCCCTCTTTTGGTTCTTACTTAATGTTTTTTGTTTTTTGTTTTTTTTTTTTTCTTTTTATTCACTTTACATCCTGATGGGCCCCCATCCCTCCTCTCCTCCCAGTCCCACCCTTACAAATTCCTCCCTTCTCCTTAGAGAAGGTACCCTTGGGTACACCCCACCCTGAGACATCCAGTCTTCATAGGCCAAGCATATCCTCTCCCACTGAGGCACAACCAGGCAGTCCAGTTACGGGAAAGGAATCCAGTGGCAGGCAACTGAGTGAGAAACAGGCCCCCTCCAGTTGCACGGGACCCACATAAAGCTGCATATCTGCTACAAATGTATGGGGGGGGCCTACATCCAGCCCCTGCATGCTCTTTGATTGATGGCTCAGTCTCCATGAGCCCCCATGGGACCAGGTTAGTTGACTTTGTAGGTCTTCTTATGACCTTGACCCCTCCAGCTCACTCAACTCTATCCCCCACTCTTCCACACAAGACTCCCCAAGCACCACCTGATGCTTGGTTGTGACAGGGTCTCTGCATTTGTTTCCATAAGCAGATGGATGAAGCCTCAGCCTCACAGGAGACAGTCGTGCCGGGCTCCTAGCCTCAGCCTCACAGGAGACAGTCATGCCAGGCTCCTAGCTCCAAGCATAGCAAAGTATCATTAATATATCATTACTAGTGTCAGGGATCGGCTGTCTTACATGGGATGTATGTCAAGTTGGGTCAGTCATTGATTGGCCATCACTTCAATCTCTGCTCCATCTTTATCCCTGCACATCTGGTAAGCAGGACAAATTTTGGGTTGAAGGATTAGTGGGTGGGTTATTGAACCCTCCCTCCACTGGAAGTCCCATCTGGCTACAGGAGGTGGCCACTTCAGTCTCCATATGGTAGGAATGTCAGCTAGGGTCACCCCTATAGACTCCTGGAGCCTCCCCTGTCCCAGGTCACCAGTTACTCCCAGAGATGCCCCCCACTGATTCTCACTTTCAGCTGTCTCCCATATCCCTTCTCCGCACACCTCATCCCCACCCCCCATTTCCCTCCTCACCCCCCTCCCACCCAGTTCCCTCCCTCTACCCACCTCCAATGACTATTTTGTTTCCCCTCTGAGTAAGATTCATGCATCCTCCCTTAGGACCTCCTTCTTACCCAATTTTTTTGGGTCTGTGGATTGTAGTAAGGTTCTCCTGCATTTCATGGCTAATGTCCACTTATAAGTGAGTAATGCCATACATGTCTTCCTGGGTCTGGATTACCTCACTCAGGATGACATTTTCTAGTTCCATCCGTTTGCCTGCAAAATTCATGATGTCTTTGTTTCTCATAGCTGAATAGTATTCCATTGTATAGATGTACCACATTTATATCCCACATATCTCAGGGTCGTTTTGATTTGCGTTTCCCTGATGACTAAGGACGTTGAAAATGTCTCAGTGTTTTTTGGCCATTAGAGAATCCTGTTGAGAATTCTCTGTTTACCTATGCACCCCAGTTTTTACTTGGGTTATTTGGTTTTTTTGGTGTCTAATGTGTTGAGTTCTTTATATATTTTGGATATTAGTCCTCTGTCAGATATAGGGTTGGTAAAGATCTTTTCCTTTTCTGTAGACAACTGTTTTGTCCTATTGATGGTTTCTTGTATGTTGTATTTCTTTAGATTGGAAAAGTTTTCTTATATGATTTTGTTGAAAATATTTTCTTATCCTTGGAGCTGGGAGTCTTCACCTTCTTCTATTCCTATTCTTAGGTTAGGTCTTTTCATAGTACCCCAGGTTTCCTGGATGTTTTGTGTCAGGAATTTTTTTAGATTTAACATTTTCTTTGACTGATGTATCAATTTCTTCTATTATATCTTCTATGCTTGAGATTCTATCTTCCATGTCTTATATTCTGTTGGTGATGCTTGCATCTCTTGTTCCTGTTCTCTTCCCTAGGTTTTCCATCTCCATGGTTTCTTCAGTTTATGACTTCTTTGTTGCTTCTATTTTCATTTTCTGGTCTTGAACACTTGTATTTATTTCTTTTACCTTCTTAATTGTATTTACCTGTATTTCTTTAAGAGATTTGTTTGTGTTCTTTAAAGGTCTCTACCTGTTTGGTTGTATTTTCCTGTATTTCTTTAAGGGATTTATTCATTTCCTCTTTAAAAGACTCTATCTTTTTAAGATTGAATTTAACGTCATTTTCTTGTGCTTTGATTGTGTTAGGATATCCAGGGCTTGCTATAGTAGGATAGCTTTGCTCTGAAGTTGTCATAGTGCCCTGACTTTTGTTGATTGTGTTCTTACACTAGTCTTTAGCCATCTGGATGCTCCCGTATGTTTCTGATTCAGCAGGTCTGATGAAGGCTGGTGGAGAGGTGGTGGGACTGTGGAGCTCCAGGGGAACAACAGGTCAATCAAGAGAGCTGGGCGTGCCCCAGAGGACTGGGAGGTCAGGGAAGTGGGTGCAGGGAAGGAATCTCCACTTCTGTTTTCTTAAAAATAAAAAAAAATTTAAAAACCCATGTAATGTTATTTATCACACAGTTTAATGACCCTGAAGATAGTATTCCAGTGAACAAAGACCGAGTAAACGCCACCAAAGGTTTCTAATCACTGATCACACCACCGTTTATGAATGGGAGCTGTTTGGTTTTTATAGACCTGACTCAGCACTGTGCTATCATTTATCTTTCATACTTATAGGGCACTGTATGAACAAACCTGAGTTGATCTTCAAGTTGGAGCAAGGACTTGGCCCATGGAATATAACAGAAGCCTCAGACAGGAGCCTCCCAGGTCAGTGATTGTATGTTGGGTAAGGAAGGTCAGCAAGAAGAAAGTTCATGAGCTACTGGCCATGTTGAGCTTTTTCCACCTACTTTTATCTAAACCCACTCCTGATGAGTAAGTTCCACTCCTAGAATAAACATTGGCATGAAGACAATGCTCAATATTAGCTTAGTAAACCAGAAAGCATCTAAGATGGAAGGAAACATTCCAGTTTTTCAATAGCAGCCCTTAATGTAAGTCATTTCAACTTTCCAATCAAGTTATACACGAATGTGGTGGTTTGAATATGCTTGACCCATGGTAAGTGTTACTGTTAAAAGGTGTGGCCTTATTTATTGGAGGAAGTGTAGCCTTATTAAAGGAAGTGTGTCACTGTCAGGGGTGGGCTTTGGGATCTCCTCCTATGCTCATGTTCTGCCCAGTGCAGAAGAGAGCCTCCTTCTGGCTGCCTGCAGATCAAAATGTAGAATTCTTGGCTTTTCCGGTATCATGTCTGCCTGGACGATAATGCTGCCTGGACGTCATGGCTGCCACCGTGACAATAATGGACTGAGTCTCTGACACTGTAAACCAGCCTCAATTAAATGTTTTCCTTTATAAGACTTGCCATGGGCTGGGCAGTGGTGGCACAGGCCTTTAATCTCAGCACTTGGGAGGCAGAGGCAGGTGGATTTCTGAGTTCGAGGCCAGCCTGGTCTACAGAGTGAGTTCCAGGACAGCCAGGGCTACACAGAGAAACCCTGTCTCAAAAAACAAAACACTCTGTGTGTTCATCATTAGACTCATAGGTGAGTTATTATATAAAAGTGTGTGATTCGGGCTTCAGTAAGAATTGGGCTACACCTCATCTTTCTCAGAGAAGAGGAGCAAGGAGAGGGGGAGGAGCTGAGTGAGTCAGGGAGGAGAGGTGATCAGGATGTAAAGTCAGTAAAGAAATTAATGGGAAAAAAAAAGTGTATTTTTTTCTTAAAACCCCAAAGATGTATATGTGTGTATACAAGTATATATAACATATACCTTTGTATATAAATAAAGCGATATAGATGGTCTTTCAGAAACATGGATAGAAGTATACTTTATCATGTCAGGTGGAATAAGTTAGAATTGCTATGGTAAAGCTGTGTTTTGTATCATGCACTGAAGCAAAACCACGATGTTAACCAGCTGGAGGGGATGAACTGGTGAGTGTGTTGTACAATTAATCTGGTGTAAGTGAGTTTTTAAAATTTTGCACTTGAGGGTAGGTGGTGCACACCTTTATCTGTACTAGGTTGGCAGTGACAGGTTGCCATCCTGGTCTACGTAGCAAGTTCTAGGCAAGTGAGAGTTAGCAAGTGACACCTTGGCTACGGTGTATACCGTTTTTTATTCAAAAATGTCGCCCATGAGCAGAAAAATGCACTTGCACAATAAACTGCTAGCTATTTTATTTATTGTTGCTTTAGAAAGTACAGCAGTCTAGAAGGTGGAAGATGTGTAAACACGAGTAAAGGGAGAGCTGGGAGTCCCTTCTACTTCTAGAGGAAGATGCTTCCCTAACAAAACCCATGGAGTATTATTCTATTGCGTTTACTCAGTATGAAGTAAGCCCTTTTAAACACATATGTAGGAATCTTTTCCCTAACATATATTTCGACTTAGAAGCAAGAACATTTGGCTATACCTACATCCTCTATATACCTTAAAAATAAGTCTATTTCACATGTGAATGAGGGGTGCTATAGATGACATTGTGTGTATAGTTAATATCCTGTAGAAATGGAGAAACCAGGAAACAGCAGATGAAAATCACTGTTGAAACCTACGGATGATGGTGAACAGCTTATCCTGTACTTTCCCAGAAGGCAAGGCAGCAAGACCATGACCCAGTGTATAGTGTGGTAATCTCACTTGTTATACGAATCCATAAAGTACTAAAATGTTTACAGTTATTACTAGTCAATATTATTTTACAACTTCTATGAGGAAAAAGAAGCCCAATTCATTTTAGAATTTCATGAAAAAGACTGAAGTATAATTTATAGATAAGGACATTTTTATTCTAATTTTAGATTTTCATACATTAGCGGCACCAATTGTGACCAGCCAGAAAAATCACAAGGCATATGTGTGGCAAGCTGGAGCCACCCAAATGAAGGCATCAAATGAAAAGATTGTAAGTAAAACATTAAATCTGGGCACTTGACTTAATTCAAACCTGACCATAAAGAGGGGAACCTAACATCCATAAGAATGATGTGGGTGTCTGGCAAGAGGCTCAGTGGGTAGAGTGCTCCCTGAAAGCACAAAGACCTACGCTTGATCTCCAGCACCCATGTTAAAAGCTGAGTATGGCCACAGGCAGCTGATATCCCAGTGCTCAGAAGAATGGGGAGGAAGGATGTCTGGGACTTCAGGATATCTAACCTGTCCAAGCTTCACCTTTAGTGAGAGACCCTTTCTCAATGATATGGTGGAGAGTGATTAAGAAAGGCACCTGATGTCAGCCTCTGGTCTCCACTTGCAAACACACATACATGTGCATGTGTACTTGCATACCACCAGACACACATGCACAAACATGGATACACTCATATTTCACCTACACTTGCAAACACACTCAACCCAGGCAACGATGTGCTGTTTCTTGATATTTAGTCTCATAAATTGCAGAGACTAACTCAAAAAAAAATTATTAATTTATTTATTTACTTCACATCCCGATGGCAGCCCCCTCACTCCTCTCCCCTCAGTCCCTCCCACCCTCTTTCCCCAAACCCTTCTCCTCTTTTCAGAGCAATTGGCAAATCTCTCTTGCATCCTGCATATCTTCTTTTCCATAACAACAAAGCTTCAGAATATTTGACCAGGGTTATCATTTTACACTAACTCAATATGTTTGACACATAGTGAAGTCTCATTTTAAAGATGCTATAGTAAATTCAATAATAAGTGACACTTGCATATGTAGCCCAAAACATGGATCATGGGACGTTGCCTAACTACTGTTAATCTATTCAGGATTCTGTTCTGTAAAAGTTGACTCAGTAGACAAAGTGTGTATGTATGAGAAATATGTGACTGTGGAAAATCATATCTCACAGAACCTCAAGAACATAAGCTAGGAAAAAGGCCTGTTTGCACATACAAGAAGTATAACAAATTCTTTTATTTCAAGGTAGAGCTAAAGGAGCAACAGAAGACCCATCAAGGGTCGAAATCCAGTGAAAGAGAAGCACATGGGAAGACATTTTTCCAGAAATCCCAGAGCACTGGGATTCAGATGTCTCCTACGTGTCAAACAGCTATCCGTTATAAGGCAACTCTCAGTAAAGGTCAGAGACTTCATAAAGGGAAGAAAAGCCGTCCGTATGAGGATTGCAGGAAAACCTTCTCCCAGAACTCACATGTTACAGTATGTCAGAAAACTCTTATAGATATAACGCTTTGTGGATGTACAGAATGCAAAAAAACTTCCTCTTGCAACTCAGAACTCACAAGTCATCCAAGAACTCACATTCGTAAGAGGCCCTATAAATGTAAGGTTTGTGGGAAAACCTTCTGCTCTCAGGGAAAACTCACTCTACATCAAATAGTTCACACAGGTGAGAAGCCTTATGAATGTCCAGAATGTGGGAAAGCCTTCTCCCACAAGGCGTACCTCACTCAGCATAAGAAAATTCACCTGACCAAGAAGCCTTATGCCTGTGCTGAATGTGGGAAAACCTTCTACCGCCTTCCACACCTTACTTTGCATAGGAGAACTCACACAAATGAGAAGCCCTATGGTTGTACAGAATGCCAAAAATCTTTCTACTGCCAGTCACAGCTTACTCTACATCAGCGAACTCACACGGGTGAGAGGCCTTTTGAGTGCATGGAATGTGAGAAATCTTTCTACTACAAGGCACACCTAACTCGACATCAGAAAGTTCACACCAACAAGTCCTTTGAATGTATAGAGTGTGAGAAATCGTTTTACTCCCAGTCAGACCTCACTGTGCACCAGCGATCTCACACAGGTGAGAAGCCCTATGAATGTATGGAGTGTGGGAAATCATTCTACCAGAAGTCAAATCTCACTCTACATCAGAGTACTCATGTAGGTGAGAAGCCGTATCCGTGCACAGACTGTGGGAAAGTTTTCTATTGCAAATCACATCTCACTCTACATCAGACAGTACATACAGATGAACACCCATATGTATGCACAGAGTGTGGGAAATGTTTCTACTATAAGTCACAACTCATTGTCCATGGAAGAACTCACACAGGTGATAGACCCTATAAATGTGGAGAGTGTGGGAAAGCTTTCACCCGAAAGCCACACCTCGTTCGACATCAAAGCATTACTCACACAGATAAGAAAAATTTGAATGAAGCAAATGTGGGAAAGGTTTCTACTGCAAGCCACAACTCACTTTACATCCACTCACTTTACGTCAGTGAACGTAAACATGTGCCAAGCATTTTGAAGGAAAAGAATGCAGGGTAGCTTTCTACTTCAAGGCACAAATAACAGTAATGGACAACTCAGATGAAGAGTCCTATGAATGGGAAGAAAGAGAAAACTTTATACTGTAAGGCTGTGGGAAAGAACTCTGAAAATATGAGTTCAAAATAGATAGTTTCTCAACTATGCAAAATACAAAGATGCAATATAAATTCTACGAGGGGCTTCATAAACCTAAAAGAACAGAGGCAGCTGCACTATGACCCAGCTTGTAAGAAAGAAACAAAGGCTGGCAGATTCCTGAGTTCAAGGTCAGCCTGGGACTGAGTAAGGATAGGCCCAGGTGTGGTGAGAATTGTAATCTCAGGACTGGATCCCACCCAGCTAAAGTTATTGTCTGTGCTTAACAAAGACTGGCGGATCTCAGAATTCATTTGCAATGTTTAAAGAAAGAAAGAAACAAGGAAATGTGCTTGCTGTATCTTTCTAAGAATCAAGGGTCTGAAGTCTGGTGATGCTGATTCATGAGATAATGAAAAGAGAACCTGGAGTAAATGACTGAATTGATATGTAAATAAAAGATTGGTCTGCAAGAGATGCGCTATACAGAGTTTTTAAAAAAATTTTTCAAGCAAGAGAGAGCTGTCTTGTGAAGAGAGCTGTCTGAAAGCTATCTCAAGCAGAATACAGGCTTTCTGTCACCTTGTACCCCATGATTGAATTTGAGTCATCTTTTTCACTGCTCTCAAACACCCCTTCTCTCAGGAACCCCCCTCCAAACTGAGGCTGTTCCTTGACACAGAAGACCTGAGTTGGGTTCCCAGGTCCATTGTCACCAGGAACTCCAGCTCCAGGTAATTCAACATCCTTGAATCTTCCTCTGCAGCTAAAGAAGGTTGCTGAGGCCAGACATGTGGCTGGTGTATCCCTACATGGAAGTCCAGAGAGGCTATGGTGAAAATGTGAAGGTGAAGCCTGGATTGCCTGGAGACTCCAAAAGGTTAGAGATGCCAGACCTGTGGGATACCTGCCCAGGAAAGCTGCTACCAGGAAGTAGAGCCAGCCCAAGAGAGAGAAGTGTGTTGCAGTCAACAAAGCTGAAAGGAGTTGGAGATCTGAAGAGCACTTTGACATCAGCCATGGAGATGCAGAGTTTGGAGTTTGTCCAGCTGGTTTTCAGTCTTGTTTTGGTCCAGTGTTTCCTCACTGTGCTCCCTTCCCTCTGTTTTGGAATAGTAATGAATATCCTATGTCATGATATGTTGGAAGTATGTGATCTGCTTTTTTATTTTGTTTTGTTTTTTTTTATAGGGGATTACAGTTAAGAGATTCCATGAGTCTCAAAAGAGACTTTGAACTTTGGACTTTAAAACATTGTTGAGTCTGTGATAGACTATGGGGACTTTTCAAAGTTGGACTAATGCATTTTGCATTATATTCTGGCTACAAGCCTATGGGGGGAAGAAATAGAATGTGGTAGTTTGGGTAGAAATCCAACCCCCCACCAAAACCCCAGTTGTGGATGGCCCTAGTATTTTGTATTCTGATGTTAATTCTGCTCTCCTGGGAGAGGCTGTGGACCAGGAATGAGTCACATACTCAGGACTTCTTGTGAGCCATTCCCTAATGAATAAAGGAGTCAATCACTGGGCAAGCAGGAGGCAGGACTTCCGGGTTGGATAGGAGATGAGAGGAAGCAGGAGGGAGAGGGCCTTTTGGATTGGGAATAGCGCAAGGGCAAGGTATAGCTACTAGTGTTTCCTGGTTTATGGCAAACCCACTAGGATTCACCACCAGAGGAATTAGATTTAATATGGCTTACAAGATTAACATTCTAGTTGGTGTGCCCAGAGACTGAGTTACCATTGTTTCTGAACTAAGTTTGTGTGGTGTTTTTCTTCTCTCAGTGACTCAACTGAGTTCAAGGGAGGTGTGGCGGCAAAGCATGGGTTTGCCTGATGTGGCCCACAAAGGCCATGGGGGTTTTGAAGCATGAGGATGGCGTGGTAGTGACCCACCAGTGGGAATTTAGCAAGCTGGGTGGAGAGATTTTGGAGCTCTGGTGCCATGTGGCCCTTCAGTCCTGGGCATAGCAGGGGAACTGCTGATTGCTTTTAATACGTCACGCAACCTCCTCCCACCCCCTGAAAGACCCCTCGAGAGGGGAGACCCTCCCTCAAGCCTCAGGAGATCACAGCCACCCAATGACTCACGAGACACCATGCAATCAGCAATCAAAAAGAGGTATATTTCAGTCAGAGCGCTAAGGCCAAGACTTGTAACCCACGCAGGGGCAGAGGAGCTCAACCCCTAGCTCAGGGAGAGTAGGATATTTAAAGGTAAAAACCACAAACCAGGGGGAGGGAGGAGGGCCGCTGGAAAGTACCAGTGGAAAATCCCAGCCCATTATTCAGCCTGTGACAGAGTTCAAGGAACAATCATGGAGAAGTACAGGCCCTTTCAAGAACCCAATCTGCTAGTCTGATAGGGGTAAAAGTTCTATTAACCCTTCACCCCAACCTCAATGGCCTCAAAGCCTTTTCACAATCATAATCTCTATTGAGGTGTTAAGACAAGAGAATAATGAGGACAAAGCTATCCTCAGCCACATGGCATTTTTCCAGGTTAGTATGTGCTACACAAGACCCTGTCTCAGAAAGCAAAAATAAAGCTGGCTCAGTGGTTAAGAGAACAAATGCTCTTCCAGAGGATCTTAGTTCGATTCCCAGCACCCACATGACAGCTCACAACTGGTTATAACTCCAGTTCTAAATCCAACACCATTGCTGATCTCTGAAAGCAATGTATACATGTGGTCCACAGATATCCATGCTGGTAAAATACTCATACACATGAAATAGAAATAAATCTTATAAATAAATATTTTCTCACCTGTGATATAGGACCCTAAGTGACTCCTTCCCTGCCCCATTGAGGAGTAAGAAATGTATCACCACAAAACCTGTGTGTTGGTTTGAATAAGAAATGTCCCCATTGCCAGGCAGTGGTGGTGCACGCCTTTAATCCCAGCACTTGGGAGGCAGAGGCAGGCGGATTCCTGAGTTCAAGGCCAGCCTGGTCTGCAGAGTGAATTCCAGGACAGCCAGGGCTACACAGAGAAACCCTGTCTTGAAAAACCAAAAGAAGGAAAAAAGAAAAAAAAGAAAAGAAATGTCCCCATATACACAAGCGTTTGAACCCCGGGCCCCAGCTGGTGGTACTATCTAGGGGAGCTTCTGGAACCATGCAAGGTTCAGCCTTGCTGGGAAAACACGCGAGGCAGGCCGGCAGGCAGGGTCTAAGGACATACACCCTATCTCCACATGGCTTCCTGCGTGTGTGTGGCTGATGTGTGCTCTCCCAGCTTGTTGTTCCTGCATGTGCAGCCATGTCTCTCCAGCTTGATAGACCCTTCTCTGTCAGGAACCATAAGATAAAAGAAACCCTATCTTGTTCAACATTGCTTTTGCTCATAGTATTTTATCACAGCAATAGAATGGTAACCGATACCCACCACCCAAGATATTTGTTATAGTGAAAACAAATATGTGAGTTAAAATCAATGTAAAGGCATTAGAGATAAAATGGTAAGGCTGGGAGCGGGTGGAGAGATGGTTCAGTGGTTAGGAACTCAAACTGTACTTACAAAGGACCTGAGTTCAATCCCCAGCACCCATTGTCTGGGAGTTTTCCTAGAAGTTGTTCTTACTCACAATTTAGTCTGTTACAATTAGATACATTATATACAAGAATATGAGAAAGGACAACAGTGCCCTCTGGGTGTCCCTCAGGTGGAGCTTCATGGGAAGTGACCAAAGCTAGCAAAGGCTGGCTTTGTGGTTTTCCCCAGAGCTCTGTCTGTCTGCTTCACAGCTCAGCTTGGCCACCCTACATCCAGATACCTGCCCCCTCTTCATCCATAGTTTCCAACCTCAGCATTTTTTTCTGTCTGTTTTGAGATGGGGTCTCACTGTGAGATCCTGGCTAGCCTGGAACTTGCTTTGTAGACCAGAATGGCTTTGAACTCAGTTTCACCTGCCTCTGCCTTCTAAGTGCTGTTGAAGACCCCACTCAGGGGAGACCCTCACTCAAGTCTCGGGATGTCGCGATTACTCAATAACTCTCACAAGACACCGAAAACTGGAGAGGTTTAATCGGGATATAAACAGCTAGCTGCTGGTCAGTTTGTCTGCTCACGCAGGAGCTGAGTTGACCCAGACAGCCAGTTCGAGAAGGGTTTTTTTTTTTTTAATTTTTATTTATTTATTATATGTAAGTACACTGTAGCTGTCTTCAGACACCCCACAAGAGGGCATCAGATATCATTACAGATGGTTGTGAGCCACCATGCGGTTGCTGGGATTTGAACTCGTGACCTCTGGAAGTGCAGTCAGTGCTCTTAACCACTGAGCCATCTCACCAGCCCCTCGAGAAGGGTTTTTAAAGGGGAAAACCACAAGCCAGGGTGGGGAGGGGGCGAGGGGGTTGCTAAGGAGACATAGCAGAAAATTCCCGAGGAACCCAACCTACGTGAGTCAGGGTCATGTGAAAAACACCTTGTATACCTAATCTTCTCAAAAATGTGGCCCTGCCCTGTCACTGAAGCCTTGCCCTGTCATTGTGGTTACCAGCTTCCTGGTTCCACCTAGCTGACTTGCATTCTTTTCTTCTCTTTTTGTGGTTAGCCAGTTCCTGTAACTAGCCTGTCCACATTCTTAGCTTGCTCCACATTCTTAGCTTGCTTCAGAGAGAATTTTCCATGCCCTTTTAAAGAAAAACCTAAGGAAGAATCTATAGATCATTTTATAAAATGATCTTCATAACTTTTCACTCTACGCTGTGGTTAAAGGTTTATGTCATCATACCTGGTCCAACACCACCATTTTCAAAGATCTATTTTGGCTTTTTAACTCTGTGTGGGTGCACATACTTGAATGCACGTGTCTGTGTGAAGGTATGTCCACATGAATTCAGGTCCCTGTAGAGATCAGAGGCACTGGATCTTCTTGGTGTGGCGGGAGACCTTACAATGGTGTAAATGATGGCTGGATCTTGGTCACTTTGACACAAGCTATAGTTATCTGTGAGGTGGGAACACTGAGAAAGTGCTTAAATCAGATCGGCCTTTAAGCAACACTATGGGACGTTTTTATGGTTAATGGCTGATGGAGGGCCCAGCTCACCGTGGCTGGTGCCACTCCTGGACAAGTGGCCATGGATGGTATAAGAAAGCAGGCTGAGCAAGCCATGGGGAGCAAATTTTGTAAATTTTACAAAAAGTTAAAACTTTAAATTAAAACAAAGATTGGGAAGTCTATATATAGAAGAGTCCTGTGTGCTTGCATCAGAATTGTGGTCCCTGGTGGTCTCTTTGGGAGTCTCAAAATCTGGGCACAATATTTGGTGTGTTGGCTAATAACCCAAACCCAGAAGGTCTGGAGCTGGCCGGTAACTGTTTAGTGTCTTTGTGTATTGTCTATGTCTGTTCTTACTTTTGTGGTTTTTGGGGAAAAAAAAAGTCTCAAGATGTAGGTGTATACAACAGGAAGTGACCAAGAGGGTCACAGCTGGGGAGGAGGGGGAAGTCAGGGAGACATTCCTGGCCCCAGGGTGGATGAGGTGCCCACCCATCAGTTGGAGGAATTTTTGGCGGACGAGGGAGACCCCCACTGTCAGTTACTTTCCTCCCGCCGCTGCTTTTGGTATCCGAAGCGGGAATCTGTGAGTCTGAGTTTTGGATTCATTTTTGTTTTCAGTTGCAGAGCAGCAAAATATCTGATTTTCTGAAAACCCCAAGGATCTTACTGACCTCTGAGCTACTGTTCTCTTAACTCATCAGCCCACCAGGGATGACTATCAGCAGCTTTTGCAGGTTCATTTTGATACTAAAGAAAAGGAGACATTATCCAGGAGCCTCAGAAAAATTGGTACCCTAACCCAGAACCCACCCGACACTGATGAAGGATTTACTTTAGGAGATCAGACTGGAACTTTAATACAGCTGAAGATAAAGGGCATCTCCAGATCTACCGCTAGGCTCTGATGGTGTTTCTCACTGTGGGAGTGGGCTTTAAGACCCTCACTCTAGCAGGCTGGAAGCCAGTATTTGGCTAGCAGCCTTCAGATGAAGATGCAGAACTCTCAGCTCCTCCTGCACCATGCCTGCCTGGATGTTGCCATGTTCCCATCTTGATAACTGACTGAACCTCTGAACCTATAAGCCAGTCCCAATTAAATGTTGTCCTTATAAAAGTTGTCTT